TCGAACGGGAGCGTTCCCCAGGGTCCGACAACCCGCACCCATACCCATAGCCAGTCCTGCTCCCAACGACCCCCCTATGGGTATGGGTGTGTGTTGCTCGTTCGTCATTCCCAGCGCACGGGGCGCCCGAAGCATGAGGCGGCACGGGTGGCAACGGGGCAGCACGTGCCGCGACGTTCGGGCCGGAGGACAGGAGGGGGGGGATTGGGGAAGGGGGGGCTACGACATTTACTGCATGCAGCTGGTTTCGGCCTCACCGATGGGGCCCATTCCTCGATACATAGTCGCCTCCGGCGCCGGGAGGCGCCGGGAAAATCAGCTACGTGAGCTGATTCTCAACCCCCCCCTTTGCTATCCCCCCCTTTCGCCCGACCCGAGACGTGGCGGAGACTGGAATACCAACCAGCTACCTCAGGGAAGAGAAGTCAGAACCCCTCAGTGCAAACGATGTAGCAGCCACTGGCCGGTGCAGCCGGGGCACTTGGAGCGGAGGTGCGGGCGGGGCACCATCGGACGGGGCTAGGAGCTAGGACGAGGGTAGATCCGTGACAGAGCGTTCCGCAACGCTCCCAGAGCGTTCCGGAACGCTCCGAGAAGGCCGCGGCGCCCGAGAACCGCCAGATCTTAGAGATTCTCGATTGGTTTTCGCCCGATTTTGGCTTCGTTCTGGCTTCGTCTTTTACCACGCCATGGCGGAAGCCTCCGGGCGGGGGGGGCGGGACTCCCGGCCGCCGTGGCCGAGGAGGGCAGATCCGCGGGCTGGCCGCCGCAAGGGGGGGGGCCTACCTCACCCAGCGCGTTGCTTGGAGGACGACGTGAAGTGATCGTCCGAGGAGAAACGGTACCCATACCTCTACCATTCGCCCGTTTTCCCTTTTTGGGGCCTCCTGGGAGGCTCTCGTCGACACCGCTGGATTCGCCTTGAAATCGGCGTCACTCCAACATACTTCTGCTATATGTGCGTCGCCCACTCAGGGGCGACGCGCGCAACGAGAAATCTTATAGTATATGCATCGTGGCGGGCGCTTTCTGGCCACGCCGCTCGGGAAACGATGTACTACAAGATTGGTATACCATGTGTTCGGGTCGGACGCGCGCCTCCAAGGAGGACATATGGTCTTTGTATGTCTCTGTGCGTCCCAGGAAATCCCGGTCAGAACGCACCCCAGGAGAGGTCTGGGGTGTAGCGGTATCGGCCTTGTCTAGTTTCCCCACATCGCGGGGTGCCCGTTTTGGGGGGGCACGCTGGCCCTGGTTAGGGGCCGGCAGAGTGGGCCAGAGGGTGTGTATGGGCCGGCAGAGTGGGCCAGAGGGGGGGAGAAGGGGTTTGGGATGAGGCAAAAGAGGATTTGGTATCATACCACTTCCGTCTTGAGGGCCGGTGGGGCTACCACCTCCGCCTTGAGGGCTGTTGGGGTTCACGTTTCGAGACTGTGCTCTTAATCCCGTATAAGAGAGAACAGCATAACCATAAACTTTGGCGCTCCGCGCGGATTTCTCGGATCTGCGCGGGACCCCCTAGCGGCGCCTCCGGCGCCGCCCCTAGTGCGCTCCGCGCGCCAGAGAGGGGGAAACCAAGTCATACCACGCGCCTCCTCGTCAAGCGGCCTGACCAGTACAGGCCGTAGTTTGGCATCGCTTGGTATCTTTTGGAAGCGAGGGTGGTCAAAAGCGAGGTAGGTTTGTTTGCTCCCTAACCCTGGGAAGCAATCAGTAAACCCCCCTCCCCCCCCCCCCCCCCTCATCAGAGGAAATTATAACGCTTCCAGCACCGGGGCCGGGGCGGAAGCGATATCCCCCGCAGGTCACCAGAGGTCCGCGGAGGGGAGGTCCCCAGACGTTCCCAGGAGGCATCCAGAAAGGCCTCCACAAGCCTCTGAATGCCGGGTCCCCTTGTAGTCCAGAGCCCAGCGACAAGGCACACCTGCCCAGAGTCGCTTCCTGTGATTCTGTGCGTTTCTGTGAGATTCGTCAGAGATTCCTCTGATACTCCGATTGGCTTCTTTTGAGATTCCTTGCCTTTTCCATTGTGATTATGTTGGGGCTCCTTTGAGACTCCTTTTGTGTTTCTTTGATGTTATTCTGGGGGTCCCTTGAGGCCCCGGTCATATCCGTTTGATACCCCATTGCTTAAGAGAGCATCACATCGACATCCGGGGCGGTGGATTATTTTATTTTTAGTGCATGTGCTAACATATCGCGGGGGGGTTCGCGGAATCCGTCTGCGATATCCCTCCGTGGACTCTCCCATAGGATCCCCTGAAAGAATCAATTTCCCTAGTGCGGTCGCAATAGGGATTGCTTATGTCCACGCGAGCCCGCGTTTTCCAAATTCCTTAGATTCCTTTGTGGTTCGTTTGAGCTGCCGCTGAGATGCCTTTGCGATTTCTGTTGGGCTCCTTTGAGATTGCTTTGAACTTTCATTGGTTCCTTCGATATCGTGCGTGGGATTTCTTGTGATATTCTTATGGGATTCCTTTGGGGGTTCTTTCGAGTTCCTCTGACATTCCTTCGACAATCCCTGAAGGGGGCATCCCATCGACCTCCGGCGCCTGTGGATTATTTTATGTTCAATAAATGTACTAACATATCGCGGGGGGGTTCGCGGAATTTGTCTGCGATATCCCTCCGTGGACTCTCCCATAGGACCCCGTGAAAAAAACAATTTCCTTTTTGCGGCCGCAATAGGGTTTGCTTATGTCCACGCGAGCCCGCGTTTTCCAGATTCCTTAGATTCCTTCGTGGTTCGTTTGAGCTGCCGCTGAGATCCCTTTGCGATTTCTGTGGGGTTCCTTTTTGAGATTATTTTGAATTTCCAATAGGGGTCCTTTGAGATTCTGCGTGGGCTTCCTTCTGAGATTTCTCTGGGATTCCTTTGGGTGGTCCTTTCAAGTATAGCTGCTTGCGGTGATTTCATTGTTTGTCATTTTTTATTTACCTTTGATTTCCGATGCGCGTCAGTTTCCCAGTGTTCTAGCAAGGCGGGAACCCATTGGCAAGCGTTCGTGCGCGTTGGTTCTTCAGGCCGTCGCCTCGCGTTGCCGCCAGCTTCGGGCCCGGGGGGGGCAAATTAATTAATTAATTATTATATTTTTATGTGCTAACGATATCGCCGGAGGGCGCCGCCCAAAATAATTATTTATTTTATTTTCTGTGCTAGCGATATCGCCGGGGGGTTTACTGTTTGCTTGCCAGGGTTATTAGTGCAGATCCAAGACATCCGCGCGGAGCGCCAAAAGCTTCTGTTCATCATGCCGAGGGTCCCCGCTCTCGAAGGGGCGAGCGGCGGCCGTGCCGCGCGGCCGCCGATCTCTCCTCTGGGGCGCGTTCCGGCTGCGCCGGAGGCGCCGCGGGTGAGGGATCCCGCGCCGACCCCCAAAAAACATCGCGCAGATCTCGAAACGTGTTACAGTCGGGGCCCTGAAGAAGGAACCCTTTTCGTTGGGGAGGGGCTCCGCATTCCTTAAGTGTTTCGCAGCTTGCCTCAGGTTTTCCTTATGTTTTCGATCGGAAATCGAAGTTTAACCCATGGAAAAAAGGGGCCTCGTTCCTTATTTGGGTTCCTTAGGTCAACGCCCCGACTGTAAGACTATGACGTTTGTCTTCGTCCAGCATTCGAGCAGGGGATCGACCTATGAATCGATGTATCCCCCAACTTGATCTCTCGTCGAAGCTACGACACACTGGTGGAGTGCTCCGTAGATCTACGGACTACGGTGAGCGGCTTGAATAAGGAACACTTACTTTTCAAAAGGGGCTCGGTCATTCCTTAGGCTTGCATGCGTTATTTACAGTTCCTTATGCGTTATTTGTTATCATCGTTCCTTATGCGTTATTCCTTGGGATGAAAGAGGGACTTCGTTCCTTATTGATCGTTCCTTAATTAGGTCAGGCCGATGACTGTCTTCTGCATATTTTCTGATGGATTCAACGGGGAAACTAATTTTGAGGTAAATCACTTCTGCAGTCGGTCCCCTACTCGAACCATTGGACACAGCTTCGGAAGGGAACTCAGCCGCGGCGACGAGGCACCTCCAGGAGGCCCCCCAAAAGGCTCCATGAGCAGCAAATTGCCTGATCCTCGAGCCACCCTCCTCCTCCTCCTCCTCCTCCTCCTCCCTCTCCTCCTCCTCCTCCTCCCTCCCTCCACCCTCCCTCCCTCCCTCCTCCCTCCCTTCCCTCCTCCCTCCCTCCCTCCCTCCCCCTCCCTCCCCCCAGCCGAAATCCGCTCCAGCCCGGTGTTTGCGGAGGGATGGGTCCATCCTTCGGACGGGGCCAGGACAAGGCCAAATCCGTTCCAGAGCTTGCCGGAACGCTCGCAGAACGTTCCAGAGCGCCGGATCTCAGAGATTCTCGATCTATCCTCACCCAATTTTCTCTTCGTCCGGGCTTCTTCCTAGGAGGCGGGGTCACAGCAAACGGGGGCACGGGGCACGCCGATGTCCACGTTCGGCCACGCCACGCCTCGTGTAGGGGGGTCTTGGGCTCCGTAGACCGGGGCCCCGTGTAGGGGGTCCTGGGCTTTGTAGGCGGGCCGATGTACAGTCGGGGCGTTGACCTGAGGAACCCCAAATAAGGAACGAGGCCCCTTCTTCCCACAAGTTCAACCTCGATTTCCCGCGGAAAACCTCAGGAAAGCCCGAGGCGAATTTTGAAACCCTCAAGGAACACCGAGCCCCTCCTCAACGAAAAGGGGTCCTTCTTCAGCGCCCCGACTGTATCCTCACCCGACTTTCTCTTGTCTTTGGCTTCGTCTCAGTCTCGGCGCCAGCTTTTTGCCCCAGCTCGATGTTGGTTGCCTCGGCCCTCGAAGCGGGCCCCGGTCCTGGAGGATCGAGCCTCGATGCCTGGCTCTCCCTTCGCCTGCTGCCCCTCCTCGCCCTCGTCCTCCAAACCTCCCCTCCCTCCCCTCGAGGGGGCGACTCTGGAAGTTCGAGCCTCGACGCTCGACTCCTCCTCGCCCTCGCTCGTCCTCCTCGCCTCCCCTCCCTCCCCCCGAGGAGGCGCAGAGCCGCGCCGACGACGCCGAGGCCAAACTCCAGGACCCGGCCACGCGCAACAGGGGGGGAGGGGAAGGCAGCTTTCTGGGAGCCAGCCTCCTCCCAAGGGCCTGGCATCGCTCGGACGTGTGCATTTTGTTCTCGGCGAGAACCATCGAGGACCACCCTGAGCCACCGAGCAAAAAAAACACGCCCGACACCGAAAAAAATGCACGCGAAATGGGCGTCCGAGCGGTGGCAAGAGGAGCGGCACATCCCTCCTGTGGCCCGGGGCCGCTCCCCACCCCCCAACCCATGGCGCCGTGTCTGCACGACACGTCGGAGCAAAAGCAGGGCCGCTGGCCGGAGGCGCGTGGCCGCCATGGCCCTTAGGGCAGGGGCAGTGCACAGTCTGACGGCCCAGCGGTTGGCTCGTGGAAGAAGCTGGCTGCCATGGCTTATGCTGGGAGGGGGGAGGAGGAGGAGGAGGAGGAGGAGGAGGAGGAGGAGGAGGAGGAGGAGGAGGAGGAGGAGGAGGAGGAGGAGGAGGAGGAGGAGAGAGGAGGCGGAGGAGGAGGCGGAGGAGGAGGAGGAGGAGGAGGAGGAGGAGGAGGAGGAGAAGGGGGGGGGATGTACCAACTCCCCCCCACGCGATCTTTCCGGTCCCCGGCTGGCGCCTCTCCGCCCCCCGTCTCCCTGAGAGGCTTGTGCGGGTAGCCGCGTAGCGGCCCCTCCCTCTCTGATCCAGGGGCCGCCCCCCCTGGGTAGTCGAAGGCCAGACTGTCAGATTGGATTGGGCCCCAAGGGCCAATCTGGCCTGGCCAAACTGGAGGATTGGGGTTATTCGCCAGACTGGATTCGCGTTGGCTCCCTCTTCAGATTGCCCCCGTTTGCCAGATTGGGCTTGCCAGATTGGCGCCAGATTGGCTTCGACTACCCAGCCCCCCCCCCCCCCACACGCGGCCTGCGCGGCCCCCGGGGCCGTGACGGTCCGGGGGCCCCGATACATGGACAGGATCTCCTTGCCTTGCCCCCCTTTTCCTCCTCCTCCTCCTCCTCCTCCTCCTCCTCCTCCTCCTCCTCCTCGCCCCCTCCTCCTCCTCCTCCTCCTCCTCCTCCTCGTCGGCCTATAGTCTCGTGGGTAGACAGAACCCCCAACAGTGCCACGTCGATTCGTGAACTGTCCGTTTTCGGCTCTCGAGAGGGCGCCGCGGCCGTCTTTTTCCAGGCCTGCGCCCGCCAGCTCTGGGCCCGAGGTCGTTTTCACCAAACCACGTCTCACTAAAGGGGGCTCTGTCCATCCCCGATTGCATTGTGGAAATCGGTTATAAGGGAATGGAAGCATGTTGCCAAATAGTTTCCAGATGTCTAAGACATGTGTTAAAACATTGTGTTTAAACATGTAAAAGCATGCTTAACACATGCTTAGAGAGCATCTGTCCAATGTTTTTAAACACATTTTACATTCAATGTTCGGACTGTAAGGGTGTCCATTGTCGTGGCATCCACAGGACGTTGTCAACGTTTGGCATCCACAGGACGCTGTCCATTGTCGTGGCATCCGCAGGACGTTGTCGTGTCTCCGTTGTCGTGGCATCCCCACTGTCGTGGCATCCCCATGGTCGTGGCATCCTTCTGTCGTGTCAATGTCAGGACTCTTAGCGCGTCCACTGTCGATATGCGCGTGGCCACAGGACGCCCTCCAGCGGCTGGAGGAGGCCAGGTCCGCCCAGCTGCTCAGCGGGGCCTGCGGCGACGAGGCGGCCGAGGCGGCCCCCCTCGGCGCGCCGGCCCGCGGCGGCCCGCGGGCGGCGACGGGCCGCCGGCGGCCCTCGGCGGGGCGCCGCCGCCCGTCGACTGCGGCTATGTTGTTCCAACCTGCTTTCTTGGCATCGCTCGGACGTGTGCATTTTTCCTTCGGCGAGGACCATCGAGGAACATCCTTGATCCATTGGCGAAGAGACCACGCACGAAACCGAAACAGATTCAGGAAATGGACGTCCGAGCGATGGCCAGCTTTAGCTTTGACCGCCAGAAAGAATTTGGAGCGCCAGAAGAAAAAGTGCCGCAACGCGAGGGTTTTCACGCGTCGGGCCCCGGGAGACGCTCGCCCGACACGGTTTCGACACTCTTTCGACACTCGTTTGACACTTTTGACGGGCCGCCGGCGGTCCTCGGTGGGGCGCCGCCGCCCGTCGACTACGGTTATGTCGGGCGTGTGCCCCCACCAGGTGGATTTTCGACGAAAGATAAAACATACCCCAACAATATACCGAAAAGGTCCAAACATATTCCAAAAATAGTCCCCAGGCTATTTTTGATGATTTTGGGATTTTGTTGGGGGTAATTTTTTCGTCAAACATCCCCCTGTGGGGGGACAGGCCCGACATAAGACTACGGGCGGGAACTCCTCGACCAGTGACGGGTCTTCTTTGGAATTCGCCAGGGGTGGCCGTCAAATGGTGGCAACACGTTGCGCCGCCGAAGCTTTCCCACGCCCGTGCTGCGCCCGGGAGGAGGAGGCGGAGGCGAAAGCGGGGGCGGAGGCGGAGGAGGAGGAGGAGGGGGAGGAGGAGGAGGAGGAGGAGGAGGAGGAGGATGGAGAGGAGAGGAGGGATGATGGGGAGGAGGGATGGAAGGGAGGATGGGTGCAGGGGGAGGAGGAGGAGGAGGAGGAGGAGGAGGAGGAGGGGGAGGAGGAGGAGGAGGAGGAGGAGGAGGAGGAGGAGGAGGAGGGGGGCGGGGGGGCCGAGCTCGTCTTCAAGCAGCAGCGAGGCGTCCTGGCTTGCATACAGGGCCACCAGAGAAAGTTCGGAGGACCTTTTGGTAAGTCGGGCCTGTCCTGCAACAAAACTAAGCCAGGACCACAGCTCGGCAGGTGGGCCGCGGGTCCCGCGGAAGGGGCCGACGCAGACCACGGCACCGGGGGGAAGGGGGGGCCTCTGGAGCTCCCCCGCGCCCGGGTCTCCTCCTCGATGCTCCGCCCCGCCTCCTGGCTCCTCGATCCTCGACTCGCCTCGACCCTCGATCCTCCTCGACCCTCGATGCTCCGCCCCGCCCCGCCTCCTCGATCCTCGATCCTCCTCGATCCTCGACCCTCGATATGCTCCGCCCCGCCTCCTCGGCCCTCCTCGGCCCGCCTCGGCCCTCCTCGGCCCTCCGCGCCCGGGAGGCGCTCCGGCGCGCCTCGCTGGCCGCCGCCGCGGAGGTGAAGGCGCCCAATCTCCTCGGGGGGCCGCCGCTCTCCGCGGCCTCCTCCTGCGCCCCTGCGCCCCGCCTTCGCCTGGGCGAAGAGGGCGGGTCCTCCTCCTCCCCTCCACCTCCTCCTCCTCCTCCTCCCCTCCTCCTCCCCCCGCTCCTCCTCCTCTCCTCATTCCTCCTCCTTTCCTCCCTCCTCTCCTCTCCTCCTCCTCCCTCAGCACATCTCGGAGGAGGAAAGGGTGCCCATAATTTCCGCCACCCTTCGCTCGTTCTCCCCTCTCTGGGCGTCACAGGAGGCCCTCGTGGCCACCGCTGGATTCGCTTCGAAATTCTGGCCCGGACGCACCCCGGGGGAGGTCCGGGGAGTAGCGGTAGCGGTACCTCTTGCTCTCCCCAATGTCTCGTCGGCGAGCGAGGGGGGGGAAGCGAGAAGGAGAGAGCCTTCTCAGGAGGCGGCGGGACTGCTCAGAGGCCGTCGCGCCTCCTGAGAAGTTTGCTGCGTCTTCGGGTAAGGCTCCGAGAACTTCTCACGAGGCCGGGGGACCTCCGAGCCTTCTGAGAGGGTCCGCCCCTTCTAACCAGCCTGAAGCATTCGAAGAAGAACAAGAAACATAATCAGCGTGAAACGTTCCCCCCTAACCAGCCTGAAGCCCAGAAATCCCTTCTAATCAGCCTGAAGCCCTTCCCACCCTTCGCCAACCAGCCCGAAGCATTCGAAAAATAACAAAACGCCATGATCACAAGCTCTCGGCGGACTTCTCGGAGCCGCGCGGGGCCCCCCTCGGCGGTGCCTCGCGCGCCACGCCTGGCGCGCTCCGCGCGCCAGGGACTTGGCATCGCTCGGACGTGTGCATTTTTCCTTCGGCGAGGACCATCGAGAGGAGAATCCTTGATCATTTGGCGAAAAAACCACGCTCACCCCCCCCCCAAAAAAAACAGGGAATGGACGTCCGAGCGATGGCTAGGGGAGGGGGGTCTGCCGCAGATCCAAGTCCGCGCGGAGCGCCAAAAGTTTGTGTGGATAGCTTGTTGCTCCTCTTCGGAACGCGTCCCTGTCCGATCTCAGGGATTACAGTCGGGGCGCTGAGGAAGGAACCCTTTTCGTTGGGGAGGGGCTCGGTGTTCCTGAGTTGTTTTGCACTTCGCCTTTGGTTTTGCTTAGGGCTTCGATGGGAAATCGAAGCTGAACTTCTGGGAAAAGGGAGGCCTCGTTCCTTATTTAGGGTTCCTTAGGTCAACGCCCCGACTGCACCTCCGCTCCTGAGTGCGCAGCCCCAAGATTGCCATCACCCGTCGGCTTGTCGGTCTCAGGGGCAAAGGGTACGCTCGAGGCTGGTTTATGCACCCCCTCGCCGGAGGAGCCGCTCCGCGCGGGCAGGCCCCGCTCGGCCCGTCGAGGGGCACGGGGCGCGCTCGGCTCGGGGGGGGGGAGCGGGGCCTGGGCACCGCACTCGGGCAGAGGTATAGGCGTCGGTCCTCTCGGGGGGCGGCCAAGAGGGGGGTGATGACGAGGGGGGGGATTACCTGGATTTATCAGGCTCGATCCCCACAAGTCGATGGGCGAAAAGTCGTCAAGCCTCTAGGGGCAGAGGTTGGCGTCGTTCCTCTCGGGGGCGGCCAAGAGGGGGGGGATGACTGGGGGGGCGGGGCATCATGGCGGTGGCCATGATGTCGTGGCGGGGCCCCGGCGCCGCACGCGGGCAGAGGCGTTAGAGGCTTAACACGACTTCTGCCGTCATTCGACTCGCGCCAGAGCGGCCGCGAATTGCTCCAGCTGTCCCTGGAGGTTCCTGGATTCAACTGGAGCTGCTTCGAATGATCTGCATGTGCCTGGATTCATCTGCATTTACACCTGGATTTATCTGGCTCAGTCCCCACAAGTCGATTGGCGCAAAGTCGTCAAGCCTTGAGGGGCAGAGGTTGGCGGCGTTCCTCATTGTAGTGGCCTCTGGCCAGTGCCGTCGATCCGGGGCGTTCCCGACGCTGTCGAAGACTCCGGCGACGAAGACGACGACGACGACGACGACGACGACGACGAATGACGAATGTCGACGGAATATCGACGACGACCTCTGACGAGGACCGACGGCAACGACGGCGAGGGCGATCGACGACGACGAGGGGCAGTGAGCGGCCGGCGCACCAACGGCGGCCCAGCGACGACCCAAGAGATCTTCGCGGACTTCCGAAAGTTCACGTTTATGCAGTTGATTTCAGGCGAGGCAAAGGTCCCCATACTCCAGATTTCGTAATAAAGGGAGGGGGGTCTCATTTCGTGGGGGGGTCTCTTCCAGGCTATCTTGGAGGGCCTGGGGGGGTCTGGGGACGATGTTTTGGAGGGTTCTCCCACGGGGGAGGTCTGAAATGGCTTGTCTTGGAGGGTCCAGACCCCTCCCTTTTTTTACGAAATCTGGAGTACCCTTCCCTCGTTTTCCTTTTTGGGGGCGTCACATGAGGCCCTCGTCGCCACCGCCAGATTCGCCTCGAAATGCGAGTCAGAACGCACCCCGGGAGAGGTCCGGGGAGTGGCGGTATCGGTCCCTATTTCAGGAGGGGGAAATCACAGACACTGAGGATGGTCGATTGTCCGGAGAATGTCTGGAAGGTGTAGACGACTCAGGAGATCTTCGTGGGTCTCCGCAAGCTCATGCTTGTGCCGTCTGTTGCCCTTCCTACCTCCCTCGGCAGCAAGTCGCGGGGAGCCTCGTGCACCCTCTTCATTCTGCCTTCGCGTCGACTGGCGTCAGATCGTGCCTGCTAGTCGACGCGCTGGCGTCGACGAGCGTCGAGTTAGCGTGTTCTAGCGTCGATTCGCGTCGAGTCGGAAGAGCCAACAAGATGGTACGGGAGGCTCCCATGATCACCGAGCGCGTTCAACTACTCGCAAAGTGCCTACAGGCGGGGCCCTGAAGAAGGAACCCTTTTGGTTGGGGAGGGGCTCCGCGTTCCTTAAGTGTTTCACAGCTTGCCTCAGGTTTTCCTTATGTTTTCGATAGGAAATCGAAGTTTAACTTATGGAACGTATGCAACGCCCCGACTGTGCTCGCAAACGCCCGCAACAAACACATGCCTTCCTTTGCGTAGTGCATCGTGGAGTTCCCGCGGCGGATCCGGGCCACTTGAGAACAGCTACTCTGCGAGTCGCGGAGCACGCTTGCCTACACGAGTTGCCACCGACACCTCCGCGAGGGTCCTTCGACTGAGGTCTCGGCCTCGCCGGCCTCAGCCCTGACCTCCCCCCGCGCCCCGCGGCTCGCTGCGACGGGGGCCTTCGCGTCGAGGCCAGCGCGGCGTTGCGGCTCGGCCCCCCTCCCGGCGCTCCCGGATGCGTGGCCAGGACGGGGAGGGGCGAAGACGAGGAAACTTGTGCAGGCATAGTCTCTCGAAGCTCCGCGCGGCTTCCCTGGATCGGCGCTGGGCCCTCCCCCGGCGGCGCATCATGGAAGTCCGCGCGGACCTCCGAGTCGGGGGCAACGAGGGGGGGGGATAGGCGCAGGGGGGGACGCATCGACTCCCAATCGCCCACTGATCGCCGATGGAGGCCCGATCGCCCCAACCACAGGAAGGTGCGGATTCGCTATCGGGGGCCGATCGCCGATCTATCGCCGACGTATCGCCGATTCCAGGTCGATGCGCCCCCCCCCCTGTGCCAGTCCCCCCCTATTTCAGGCAATCGCAAACATGGATTAGGGGGGCGTGGATTAGCGACGGGCACGGGAAATCGCGGAGTCCCGCCGCCGAACGCGGCGGCACCTCCCCCGATCCATGGATTTGGCGACCGCGCGCCAAATTCACCGCTAATCCATGTTTGCGCGCCAGCGTCTAGCGTTGCCCCTCACCGAGGAGTCAGGCCCGCGAGCCATTGGTGTTTGCTCCCCTGGATGGGGGGGAGGGTGGACGGGCATCGGCGGCGCGCGCTCGGAGGGGGGCCAGGCCGCCCCGCATGTCCTGTGCCCGGGTGGTGCGCGCCGCCAGGAGGAGGAGGAGGAGGAGGAGGAGGAGGAGGAGGAGGAGGAGGAGGAGGAGGAGGAGGTGGAGGAGGAGGAGGAGGTCGGGGAGAGGAGGAGGGGAGGAGGAGGAGGAGGAGGAGGAGGAGGAGGAGGCGAGGAGGAGAGGAGGGGAGGTGGAGGAGGAGGGGGAGGAGTTGGAGGAGGAGGAGGAGGAGAGAGGGAGGGGGAGGAGGAGGTGCAGGAGGAGGAGGAGGAGAATGAGGAGGATGAGGAAGGGGGGGGGAGGAGGAGCAGCGAGGAGGAGGAGGAGGAGGAGAAGGAGGAGGGGGGGAGGAGGATGAGGTGTTGGTGGTGGTAGAGGTGGTGATGGTGGTGGGTGGTGGAGGTGGAGGTTCAGGAGGTGGTTGAGGAAGTGGTGGTGGTTGAGGTGGTGGAGGAGTGGTCTGTTGAGGCGGTTGGGGAGGAGGTGGTTGACGAGGAGGAGGAGGAGGAGGAGGAGGAGGAGGAGGAGGAGGAGGAGGAGGACTAGGTGGTGGTGATAGTGGTGGTGGTGGTGGAGGGCCCGGGGAGGTGCTCAGAGGCCCGCGGAAGCCCGAGAGGGACGGGAAGCGTCCGAGCACGTTTCTCACCCTCCTCCGCCCCTTGTTTGTGGCATCCGCCGAGTCGTTTTCAGGGAAGCGTCTCGATATGATCATCCAAAGGCCCATGCTGAAGGCTCTTGCGGGGGGGTCAGATGCAGGTTGGACCGCGAGCTCCGATGAGACCTTGAAAGAAGGGCTGTAGCCGCTCGGACTGGTTGGTCGTACATCCTGGGAGGCCGTCCCTAGCCGCATCTATCCTCCCTCTTCCCCCCTCTTCCTTCCCTCCTCCCACCCTCCCTCCGTCCCGTCCTCCGCCCTCATCCCCCCTCCTCTCTTCTCCTCCGCCTTCCCCCTCCTCATGACTCACAGTAACGAAAGTTCTCTTGGGACTCAAACGAAGAGAACCCACAGCAGCGTAGTTTCTTCTGCGACAGTGCACGAGCACAGAGTGCGAGTGCAGCCGTGCCCGGTCTCGCGCTGAATGGAGGCGATTCGCGAGAGTTGTTTGCTGCGCGAGGCAGAGTGTCGCGGACGGGCCACCAGCTTGGGCCGCCCGTGGTGTTCGGCGGGGCAGCCCCAGGGTTGTCAGCTATACGGCCTGGGTGAATATGATGATGGTAATGATGATGATGATGATGATGATGATGTGATGATGATGATGATGATGATGATGAATGTGATGATGATGATGATGTTGATGATGATGACGTGACGATGACGCGATGACGATGACGATGACGATGACGTGACGATGACGATGATGCTGATGATGTTGATGATGATGATGGTGATGATTGATGATTAGTATGATGATGTGCTGTTGCTGCTGCTGCTGATGATGATGATGATGTTGATGGTGATGATGATGATGATGATGATGATGATGATGATGATGATGATGATGATGACGATGACGATGACGATGACGATGACGATGACGATGACGATGACGATGATGTTGCTGCTGATGATGATGATGATGATGATGATGATGATGCTGCTAATGTTGCTGCTGCTGAGGATGATGATGCTGATGCTGGTGATGATGATGTTGATGATGTTGATGATGATGGTGATGATGCTGCTGAGAATGATAGTGATGGTGGTGGTGATGATGAGGATGAGGAGGAGGATGATGCTGATGATGATAGTTGCGTGGGGTGCGTCAGCATGCCGCTGGCAAGGTTTCTACAGAATTCGCCGCAGCGTTGCTGAACCCGCTGGCCGGTCGCGCGGCGACGGGTCCAGTGGTCGAGCGGCCGCGGGACCCCAGGCTGAGTGTTTTGGGCTGACGAGTGGCCTGCAAGTGCGGCGGATGCTGCCGCAGCCAGGGGCGAGCCCGCCTGCTTCCTTCTCCTTGCTGCTGCTCACGCTTCTGCCTCTCCGTCCCCCCCCCTTTCCGAGCGCAAGGACCTGGCAGGCAGGCTCCCACCCCTGGGGGCAGCCCCCACCCCCAGCCCGGCCGACTCGCGGTTCTGGCTTGCCGCTGGTGCCTCTTGTGTCCCCCCGGTTCTGACGACCGACCAGCGACGCCCGACCGACGACGGCGGCGAGCCCCCCCCCGTCGTCGTCGTCGTCGTCGGCGGCGGCGGCGGCGGCGTCGGCGTCGGCGTCCTCGTCGGACGCGGCGGCGGCGTCGTCGGCGTCGGCGTCGGCGCTGGCGTCGGCGTCGGCGTCGGCGTCGGCGTGGGCGGCGGCGGCGGCGTCGTCGTCGGCGGGCGTAGGGGTCTGCGTCGGCAGCGGCGTCGGCGTCGCGTCGGCGTCGGCGTCGTCGTCGGCGGGCGGCGGCCGGCGTCGTCGGCGTCGGCGTCGGAAGTCAGGCGTCGGCAGTCGGCGTCGGCGTCGGCGTCGGCGTGGGCGGCGGCGGGGCGTCGTCGTCGTCGTCGGAAGTCGGCTCACTTGCGTCGGCTGCGTCGTCGGCGTCCGTCGGCGTCGGCTGTCGTCGTCTGCAGCAGCGTAGCGTAGTTTGCGTCGTCGGCGTCGGCGTCGTCGTCGTCGCGTTCGTCGTCGTCGGGTACGGCCGGTTACGCTGTCTGCGTCGGATCGTGGCGTCCCTCGGCGGCTGGCGGCGGCGTCGTCGGAGTCGGGTCGGCCGCGGCGGCGGCGCGGTGGCGTCATACGTTCTCGGTGGCGGCGGCAGGAGTCGTCGGCAGTAGAGGCGCGGTCTGCGTCGGCGGCGGCGTTGGCGTCGCATCCTCGGTCGGCATTTGGATGGGCTCGTCGGCGTCGGAGTCGGAGTCAGCGTCGGCGTCGGGGTCGGAGTCGTCGGTCGTGGTCGGCGGCGGCGCGTCGTCGGCGTCCGGCGGTCGGCGTCGGCGGCGTCGGCGTCCGGCCAGTCGGCGTCGGAGTCGTCGGCGTCGGCGTCGCGTCGGCGTCGGGTCGTCGGCGTCGGCGTCGGACGTCGGCGGCGGGGCGGCGTCCTCGTCGGCGGCGGCGTCGTCGGCGTCCGCGAGGCTCGGTCGGCGGCGCGTCGTCGGCGTCGTTCTTCTCGTCGGCGGCGGGGCGGTCGTCGGGTCGGACGTCCGACGTCGGCGGCGGCGGCGTCGTCGGCGTCGGCGTCGGCCGCGGCGGCGGCGTTGGCCTCAACGTCCTCGGTGGCGGCGGCGGCGTCGTCGGCGTCGGCGGCGTCTGCGTCGGCGGCGGCGTCGGCGTCGGCATCCTCGTCGGCGTTTGCGGCGGCGTCGTCGGCGTCGGCGTCGGCGTCAGCGTCGGCGTCGGGGTCGGCGTCGGCGTCGGCGGCGGCGTCGTCGTCGGCGTCGGCGTCGGCGTCGGCGTCGGCGTCGGCGGCTGCGTCGTCGTCGGCGTCGGCGTCGGCGACGGCGTCGGCGTCGGCGTCGTCGTCGTCGGCGTCGGCGTCGGCGTCGGCATCGGCGTTGGCGTCGGAGTCGGCGTCCGCGTCGTCGGCATCGTCGTCGTCGTCGTCGTCGGCGTCGGCGTCGGCGTCGGCGTCGGCATCATCGACCGACCTCCTCCATCCATCCGCGCCTCCTCCTTCCCTCTACAGTGTACACCATTTGAGTACTGCCCTATCTCCCCTGACTCGCTGCGGGAGCTCTCCCGCCCCCTCCGCGCAGGGCTCCTGGCCTGTTTCGCACCCAGGATGTCAAGAGATGTTGCTGCTGCTTAGAGGCGCTGCTGCTTGCACTCCGATTGTTTTCGGAGTTTCAAACTGTTGCTCCTGCTGCGGCGTGGGCTTCATGTTCGACTCGGCGCGCTGCCACCCCTGTTCAGAATGACACGCTCGTCCGAGCCCGGGCCACTTTTCCAGATCCGAGTCCTGTTTCATCGTCTTCCCTCCGCCTGACCCTGGTCTTCTTGATCCTCCTGCTCATTCCACTCCAACCCATGCTGCTTCTCTTAGTCCTCGTCCTCCTCATCCTCCTCCTCCCTTATCGTCCTCCCTTTCCGCCTACCCATCCTCATGCTCATCCGCCACCTCCTCCTCCATCTCCTCCTCCTCCTCCTCCTCCTCCTCCTCCTCCTCCTCTTCCTCCTCCTCCTTCTCTTCCTCCTCCTCCTCCTCTTCCTCCTCCTGATCCTCCTCCTAGGTACGCAGGTCCCAGCTCCCGCTTACGCAACACATTTGGGTTTCTCTGGGAGTTCCAAGTCCGCCATGCCAAACGTCCGCGGATAGACAAAAAAACAGTGCAGCGGTAAGGGATGGGAGGGGGGACAGGACAAGAGTTGTGGGCTGAGCGCACCTAGCTTGCATCCCTCCCTCCTCGTTCATCCCCTCGCCCCCCTCCTCCTCCTCCTCCTCCTCTCTCCTCCTCCTCGCTCCTCTTCCTCTCCTCCTCCTCCTCCTCCTCCTCCTCCTCCTCCATCCGCACCTCTTCATCCCTGCACTCTCCTCCCTCCTCCCTCCCTCCCGTCCCCCTGAGCAGCAGCCGCTGTGGACACACTGCTGGTTCCCAGAGCCCTCCCAGCTCCCAGGCCCTCGAGAGCCCGGGCTCTCGGGCCCGGCCGAGGGCGTTCCGCCTTGGCTGCCGGCGCCCCCCCCCCCCCGCACCGCCGCCGGCCCTGGGCAGGCGCTGCAGCAGGAGCTGCGCGCCAAGACGGCGGAGACGGACCAGGCGCGGCCCGGGGGGCTCTCGGAGCTGGCCGCCCAGGGGCTGGCCGCCCCGGGTCGACGATCGTCGCGTGGGCCGAACCTCGGCTACAGTGGGGGCGCGCATCAAGAAACCATATGCTTTTCGTCCGGGTATCCTGGGTTTCTTCGCTCCTCGCGCTGCGCGGTGACTTTTCGCAGCCGTTGAAGGAGCTGCTGCGTTCAGGGTGCTCCGGGTTTCCCCTCAGGTGCACCTCGCGCACGGGTTCTCAGGGTTGGGTTTCGTGCGAGGGTTTCTTGCGACTGCGCACGCACTGTATACGTAAGAGTGTCTTTCGCCGCCCACCAAACCTCCCCAACCCAGCCCGAAGGCCCTGGTTTGCCCTCCATTTCCAGTTGGGGGGGGGTCGGGGAGCATCGAAAAAACACGCATGGAGCCCGCACCCCCCCCCTCCCATCCCGAGATTCGGGTCTTCGGCTTGGGTTGGGGTGGTATGGTAGGTAGCCAGTAAGAGTGGCCCTGCGCCGGAGTGACCTCGAGTGCGGGCGCGCCGGGGCCGCTCGGAAGCCCGAAGAGGCGAGGCGTATCGCAGCCGCTGGGGCGCCCTGCTTCTCGGCCTCCCCGCGGCCTCCCCGGAAGTCACGCACCAGAGGTCGCCCTTGCCCAGGGTCACTCGTACTTAAGCAGTGGCGAAGCGTCCGGGCTCGCCCATAGCCCTACCAAGCAATGTTCTCAGAACCTTTTGTGGTTTCCACGAAATGTTCTTAGAACAGCTCTGGTGGAGTCTGTCTTGTTTTACACACATCGGGTTTACATTCTAAGAACATTGTCTGTGGTCTTAGAACATTTGTGGGTTCTAAGAAAATTTGGTGGTAGGACTATGGTCGGTCCCTGCTCAACAAAGGTCGCTCTTGCCCAGGGTCACTCGTACGTGCGGTCGAGAAAATCACGAAGGTTTCGCGTGTCTCGGAGCGGAGGTGTATCGTCGTGCAGCGCCCAGTAGCGTCAAGTCGGGCTTGTCCCTCCACAGGGGGAATGTTCAAGAATAGTGAGAAAATAGTCTGGGGAGGATCTTTTGACAACTGTTTGGTATCTGTTGGGCATGATTGTGGTATTTTTGTTTTTGGTTCAAAGTCCCCCTGTAGGGGGACACGCCCGACTTAAGCCATGGGTCACTCGTGCGTGCGGTCGAGACAGTCACGAAGGCTTCGCGTGTCTTGGAGCGGATGTGTATCGGCGAGGAGCGCCCAGTAGCGTTCCACAGCGATCGGGGACGCCAAGCAGCGGCGCCCGAACAGCGGATGACCAGCAGCTTCCGTGAGTTGCTTTCTGACGTCGTTGTCGTCGACGGTCGTCGTCATCTCAGAGGCTCTTCCTCCGCCTCCTCCTCTCTGGGCCTCCCAGATGGGGTCGGAGTGGATGGGGTTCGTAGGCTCGCGCCGCATCGCAAAGGCATCGGCGATGCGGCTCGATGGCGAGCCCGACTTCTTCTGCTCCGCTCTGGCGTCACCGATGCACCGCCGACGTCGCCGCCCCGGTCGACAATCGCCGCGGTCGTCGACGATCTCGCGAGCTGCGAGCGTATCCATATCCACGCACTCGCGGTCTGGATTCCGGGGCGCGACCCCGCGGATGCGCGGTCGCATGGATGAGTTCCGCGCGGGGTCGCGACCCAGGGGCTTGGCCTACGAGACCGCGGATATGGATCGCGCTTTCGGAGCATGTTCTTTGGGTGGAGGGCAGAGGGTGAACTCTGAAATGCCGTCCCGATTGACTTTCGGAGGCTTGAATCTGCAAGCGGTGAATCACAAGACGGATTGATTTTCGAGGTGCAAAAACCCTTGTGGATTTGACCTTGAGCCCTCCTCTCGAAGAAAATGCTCAGGTTTTGTCCCCGACGATCGTCGTCGTCGTCTAATGGGCTCGTCCTCCACCTCATCGTCGTCCGTCGTCCTCCTCCTCCTTCAGCCCCGGCCCTGGCACGCACCTGAGTCTTGATCGGCGGCGAGCCACGGGTGGACATGGAGAGGGGCAGGCCCTCTCGGAAGGCTGCGGCCTTTCCCAGAAGCCATCACGCCTGCTGAGAGGCCGCATTTGTTGTCAGAGAAGGGTCATGCAGCCCCCCTGGGCACGCCGCCATTTTTCGGCGGCGAGCAAGGGGGGGAAGTGAGAAGTGAGAAGGGGCGGGCCTTCTCAGAAGGCTCGGAAGTGCCCTGGCCTTCTGAGAAGCTTTCTAAGCCTTCCCCGAAGACACACAACTTTTCAGAAGGCGCGAGGGTTTATGATAAGTCCCGCCGCCTTCTGAAAGGGCCTTCTCCTTCTCATTCCCCCCCCTTGCCGACCGCCGAGATTTGAGGCGCATGGCCATCTGGGGCCGGGTGCAAGACCTTGCAGTCTAAGCCACGACCTGCCACGGAAAGGCCAGGGGTGTGCATCTCATCCTCCTGCATGTTCCTCTCCCGCTCCCCTCCTCCTCAGGCGGTGGAGAGGTCAACATCAACTGCACCGCTGCCTGCAGCCAAGAAGAGCGCATTGTCCGAGACTGGGTGGGAGGTGGAGGGCCGAAGGGGGGAGGAGGTGCAGGAGGTGGTGGAGGGGGTGGGGATCTGGGATGCGTGCGGAGGATGAGGTGGTGGAGGAGGAGGAGGAGCAGGACGAGGACGAAGATCCGCGTGGAGGAGGAGGAGGAGAAGGAGCAGGAGGAGGAGGAGGAGGAAGAGGAGGAGGAGACGGAGATACGAGGAGGAGGAGGAGGAGGAGGAGGAGGAGGAGTAGAACGACGAGGAAGAGGAGGAGGAGGAGAAGGAGGTGGCTGCTCCTGGGGCCAGGCGCGGGCGAAGCTCGAGAAGAAGAGCAAGCAGCTTGCCGAGAAGATGGAGGATCGAGGGAAGACGCGCGGGGACCACGGCCAAGACGCCACCGGATTGTGTCGATGCCGATCTTGGTCATGGTCAATGCGGGACATCCTCCTCCTCATCCCCTCCTCCCCCTCCTCCTCCTCCTCCTCTCCTCCTCCTCTTCTTCTCTCTCCCCTCCCTCTCCTCTCTCCTCTCCTCCGCTCTCCTCGTCTCTCCTCCTCCTCCTCCTCCTCCTCCTCCTCCTCCTCCTCCTCCTCCCCTCCTCCTCCTCCTCCTCCTCCTCCTCTCCTCCTCCTCCTCTCCTCCTCCTCTCTCCTCCTCTCCTCCTCCTCCTCCTCCCCCCCCCTCTCCTCCCCCTCCTCCTCCTCCTCCTCCTCCTCCTCCTCCTCCTCCTCCTCCTCCTCTGGCCGCCGGCCGCCTCGCGAGGACGATCCGGGAAGTGTCGCAAGGACGCCGATCAAGCTCGACGGTGACCGAGATCGGCACGACGTCTTCGTGCGTTCAGGCTCGGTCGTGGCCCCCGTTCTCTCCCCCTCGACAGGAGATCGAGAGCATGGAGGTGGAGAGGCGCCAGCCCGCGTTGGGGGGCCGCGTGCGCGCGTTCGTGGCAGGCGGACCCCTTGCGAGGGCGCTCGGGGTGGAACGGCGCCCGTTGGCCCAGAGCCAGCCCGCATCGAGCGGCGCCAGCGGTCAGAGGAGGAGGAGGAGGAGGAGGAGGAGGAGGAGGAGGATGAGGCGGAGGGAGGAGGAGGAAGGAGGAGGAGGAGGAGGAGGAGGAGGAGGAGGAGGAGGAAGAGGAGGAGGAGGAGGAGGAGGAGGGAGGAGGAGGAGCGGCGCCAGCGGTCAGAGGAGGATAAGGGTTGAGTCGGGCGTGTCCCTCTGCAGGAGGAATGTTCAAACATAGATAAACAAATAGTCTGGATACGATTTTCTAGTATGTTTGACTATGTTTGAAAATCTGTTTCCACTGTTTTACATGTTCGTCCAGACTCTCTCTGTGGGAGGACACGCCCGAGCTAAGACAAGGTACCAACACCGCCACCGTTCCCCCGATGTTCCCTCATGTCAGCCTCATGGGAGGCCCTCGTCGCCATCGCCGGATTCGCATCGAAATCTTGGTCACATCTCTGGAGAAGTCTGGCGAGTAGCGGTCTCGGTGCCTGTTGGTTTCCCCAATCGGAGAGCCGCGTCCGTGCAAGGCTTGAGTAATTCAACACCACACAAACATATTTGTTCGGAGTCCGCGCGGGATCGGCGCTGGAGCCCCCTGGCGGCGCCTCCAGCGCGGAGTTTTGGGCCCTGCTCCCACTTGGGGGAGTGGAGTCAGAGGGATTGGAGCTCGTCAGCGTAGAGGATGGAAGGCCGAAAAGCATGAATAGTACCTGAAGCATGGCGCGCCCGCCTCGATGCAAGAGGGCTCGGCAGCGTTTTACCGGAGCCCCCGTGCGTTTTGCCCGTCTCCACAGGCTGGCCGGCTGGCCGCCCACCGCGTCACTGTGCCCCCAAGGTCGGACGTCGCGAGCTTGCCGCTTTGCTCCCTCCTCTCCCCCCCTCCCCTCCCCTCCGAATTTGCTGATGCAGGGAACGCTCCTGCCGGGGTCGCGCGAGGGGCTGCGGTGTCTCGCACAATGCTGGTTGGAGTGGAGTTCTACAACAAAAAAGGTCGGACGTCGACAGCAATGCACCGGCGCCGAGGCTGGCAAGGTCTTCCTTGGGGCCGGGATCGGTGTGTACGCCGTGCCGGCTGGGCCAGGAAGCCGTGCGCGCCAATCGTGGGCCCGGGGTGGGCTCAGCCAGTATTGGTGTCGGTGTATATTTACGTGTCGTCTTACAGAGGGAGGAGGAGGAGGAGGAGGAGGAGGAGGAGGAGCAGGAGGAGGAGGAGGAGGAGGTGGGAGGAGGAGGAGGGGAGGAGGAGGAGGAGGAAGGAGGAGAGGGCAGGAGGAGGAGGAGGGCTGGAGGAGGAGGAGGAGGAGGAGGAGGAGGAGGAGCAGGTGGAGGAGGAGGAGGAGAGGAGGGGGGAGGAGGAGGAGGAGGAGGAGGAGGAGGAGGGAGGACGGAGGGAGGAAGTCACTTGGCGTTGTGCCCGCATCTGCCGAGCGTGTGCCCCAGGCGCTCCTGGCGCGCGACGGCATCGGCCCAACGGCAGCCAGGGGGCCTGCGGTGCAGGCACACAGGAGTTGCCGTCCAGAGGCGACGTTGGCGCCGCCGAGAGCTGTGCACACTGGTGGTGGGCCCAGCGGCATTGAGCTGATGGGCCTGTTTCCCCCACCACAACCACTACCACCACCACAAGATATTGTGGGGGGAGGAGTGGAGGCAGAGGCGGAGGTGGAGGGAAGAGGCGGGAGGAGGGAGGAGGAGGAGGAGGAGGAGGAAGGGAGAGGAAAAGGAGTAGGAGGAGGACAGGAGGAGGGGAGGAGGAGGAGGAGGGATTGGAGGAGGAGGAAACGACGAGGACCCCTCTCACCACCTGTTCTGGTTGGCTGGAGGTGGAAAGCAAAGCCACCACGGCCTGTGGAGCGGCTCGGCAAGACCCCGGCCCCCCGCGTAGCGGGAGGGCTCGCGCGGCGCGCTGACGGGCGCGCGTCGTTGCGACCGGCGGCGGCCCGCGCGCCGTGCGTTCGGCGTTTGGAACGCGCCAGCGACCCTGCATCGATCCTCCTCCTCTCATCCTCCTCCTCCTCCTCCTCCTCCTCGTCCTCCTCGTCCTCCTCCTCCTCCTCCTCCTCCTCCTCGTCCTCCTCGTCCTCCTCGTCCTCCTCTTCGTCCTCCTTTTCCTCCTCCTATTCCTCTTCCTCGTCCTCCTCCTCCTCCTCATCATCATCTTCCTCCTCCTTCTCCTGGTCGTCCTCCTCCTCCTCTTCTTCCTCTTCTGGAATCGGCCGATGTTGAACGATCCGGCTTTCGGAAACGGCCGCTCGTTCCAGGTTTAGCGATCCCCGCGGTGTCAGGAACCAGCGCCGGGCAAGGCAGGGCACGAACCCGCGGTGTCCCACATCTTCTTGGACCTCGAGGGGCGGTGGGTATGAACCTGTTCTGGCACCTTGTGGGATTGATCTACAGCCGCTGCCCCCTGGAGCCCTGGGAGATCCGCTCCTCCCTGAGGAGGTCCCACCCCGAACCTCCACGAAGTGTCCTTCCGCACGGCGGAGGACTCCACGTGAGCTGGGGAGTCTGCAGCCTGGGCCGTCGGAGGAGGACGGCAGGCTGTCGCCCCTTGGCGGACGCAGAGGTATACAAGAGAGTGTTCCGCCGCGGAGGGGGGCGCCGGTCCCAAGGCGGTTGGGAAATTGATCCCCCTGCGTGCCACACAGGGGCGCGCGTGAATGTTCTATCCGCCTGGGGACGGGCCCTCCCCCACAGCATACGTATGAAAGTTTGTCGTACACCGTGCCTCGTCCGCCGAACCTCCCCCATCAGCCCTTCCCCTCCTTCGTGCGTGCTGCCTCCTTCTGTCCCCCCCCCTTTTTCCCTGCCCCTCTCCTGGCCCCCTCCCACGTGAAGAATCCCACCCTCTCTCCTGCTCCTCTCCTCTGCAGAGGCAGAAGATGTTGAGGACCATCCATACCCTCAAAGAGCAGCTGGAACGGCTGAAGGAGATCGCCGAAAAGAAGGGCTACGGCAACTTGGTGGACGAGCTGATGGAGGAGCCGCGGGTGCCGGAGTCGGTCTGAAAAAGTGTTGCAGTAACGCTGAAGGTCCGGCCCCCACCTTCCCCTTGCGTGCTGCAGAAATCAAGCCCTCTGTTTTTGTCCCAAGGATTATGTTGGGTCATCGCTTTGAACAGAGCGCCCCGCGTATCCCTCCCTCCCTCCTCCTTCTCCTTGAGTGCTGCAGAAATCAAGCCCATTGTTCCCCCCCCCCCCCCCGATGCCGACAAAACCACTTGCGCGAAATCCGTGCGAGTGTTGGGTCGAGGGCCTAGCCCGACGTGTCGGTCTACCTCCATGTCTGCGTGTTGGTTGGCGTGGACCCTTGACAGTGCGCTGTGGCACCGTGAATGTGTACGGTATGTGGTGCAAATTATGCGGTGTACGCAGTGTAATGTAAGCTGTGTGGCCTAGGTTTAATGGTGCAAGCTGTGTGGTGTAGCCTAGGTGGTGCAAGCTATGTAGTGCAAGCTATGCTCTGTACGCCATGTCGTGTAAGCGTTGTACTGCACGCTGTGCGGCGCAATCTGTGTGCGGGGATCGCTCTGTGTAAAAAGCTATGCGGTGCGACCAGTGGGGTGCGAGCTTTGGCGAAAGCTCTGTGGCGAAAGCTATGCGGCCGCCCAGGTGGCCTCCACCAATCGCCTGCAGGCGGGCGCCGGGCGACACTCCCGCGGACCCGCCTGGCGCACGAGGCGCCCACGAGGCGCCCACAGCCGCATTCGCCCACCCTCTTTTGGCCGGAAGCAGGGGCAGAAGCAAGGGCTCCCTCGAGGGCGCGAAGTTATTCGCGCTTCGCGCTTCGCGGTCCTCCTTCCTTCTCCCCCTCCTCCTCGTCCTCCTATTCTCCCTTTGGGAGGGCGGCGCGAGAGCGCGAAGTTATTCGCGCTTCGCGCTTCGCGCAGCGCGAAGCGCGAAGCTGGGAGCCCTTGTTTTGGCCGGAAGCAGGGGCAGAAGGGGGGCAGTGAGCCAGCGGCAACGGCGTGCGATCGAAGCAAACCAGCCAGAACGCGGGCGCTTGGAGGCGGCTCCTGCTCGAGCGCAGACCCCTCGCGCCATCGCGTGCCCCGCTGCTGGGAATGCCGGGGCAGCTGGGCATGAGACCGGCGCCGAGAAGCGCAGAGCGATTCACGTCTGGATTCGTCAAGGGAGGAGTTTGAAAGGGAGAAGCGTTCAAATTAGCCCCCAGCCCCAGTCAATGAATCAAGGGAAGCGCTGAGCGACTTCTCGGCTGACCACGGATAGACTGTAGAAATGTTAGGGTGAGGCGCTTTTTGCCCTCGAGCCAAAAACCCCAAATGGCCTTTTTCATGCGAGACATCTTTCAACAACCTTGGGATTTCGAAGGAGTTGTTTTGCTTAAGCTGTTGCCCAAGAGGGTTCCAAGACGGGTGTAAGGGGGCTCCATCCATGTATTTCGAGAGCCAGCAAGATACAAGTTGGGAGAACAGGGATGATCGGGGAGGAGGAGGAGGAGGAGGAGAAATGATCATCGAGGAAGAGCGATGGAGAGGATTAGAAGGCTGGAGGAGCGAGGGGTAGGCGTCAGTAGGAGTGGGAAGGTGCGCGACGAGCGGCACGAGGATAATTGCGAAGGAGGAGGTAATTGAGGACTGAGGAGGACGCGCGAGGAGCAGGCGCGAGAACGAGCAAGAAAGACGAGGAGGAAGAGGATGGCAGCAACAAGAAGGAGGCAGAGGAGGAACAGATGAGCAGTCAAAAGGAAAAGGATGAGCAGGACGAATGAGGAAGATGTGGAACGAGGGCAGGGCCTGGAGTAGATATCAAGAGCATGGTGCCCAAACTGCACACACAGCAGACTGCACATGCACTGCATAGGACAACGCCCCCGCATGGTGCCCACACCCGGTCGATGACCAGTGGGGCTCAGGTGGACGGCGAATCGTCGTCCGCGTAAAGTGAATGGTCGCGCGGAACAGACGGACGATTCGTACCGCCCGTTGTTCTGGCGAGCTCTCCAGAATTGTTTTGTGCTTTCACTGCGGAGTGGGAAATGTCCGACTCTGCTAGCGAGCACCGCGTCGTGGCAGCGGCGCCTGCACAGCAGGGTCGCCGATCGCATTGCACCCCTCGTCATCGAGAGTCGAGGAGGAGGAGGAGGAGGAGGAGGAGGAGGAGGAGGTGGGGGAGGAGGAGGAGGAGGTTTTGTGGTCTTGGCAGCGCACCTTGGCAAACACTACGAACGCGCCCCCTGCACACGCGCTCCTGGACGGGAGCCCGGCCAACGACACCTTGCCGGTTACCGGGGGCGTATACATCGGACAGTGCCGGAGCGCATTCGAGGCGGAGGATGCGGCACGGAATGCAGGTGCGCAGTGAAGGTATGAAGGCTCTTCCGAGTGCCCTTCCCCCCTTCTTCCTTCCCCTTGCGGCCGATTTTCTCGCACGCCCTGTGTTTTCTCACCAGTGCTAGCTCACAGCGCTGCTTTACCTTGTCCAGAGTAGTATTACACAGACCGCCCATGGACGCAGCCACGCGCAGCAGCACGCAAACGCGCGAGAACAGGCAGCACACTAATCAGCACCACGCGGTTCAAGTGGCAGCTATTCTCCCCGCTGTGTCCGTCATCGGCTTCCACACTTCAATGCGGAAGTCTTTCATGCGACATCCACTTCAACAGGGGCGAAGTTTGTCTTTTGGGCGTCGCACGGTGTCCAAGACAGCCAAAGGGGGCTCAGGCACGGCTCAAATATTGTAATCGTTTCCAAACGTGTCTTCAGGAGGCCCCACACATGGCCCAGTCATCCTTGGCGAGCACACAGAGGGGGGGAGGGGGCGGAACAGCGAAAAGGATGATCAGGATAACGAGGGACAAGAGTGGATGAGTGAGGAGGGATGGCGACGAGTTGGTGGGAATTCGAGCGGGGAGGAGCGGTGCAAGGATGAGAAAGGGGGGAGACGGCAGGCTGATTGAGGACATGGAGGCACGAGAAGCAGGGTTGAGGACGAACGGGGCGGGGAGGAAGACAAGGAGGAGGGGTAGCAGCGAGGAGGAGCGAGGTGGATGAGGAATATGAGGGATGAGAAAGATGAGGAATGAAGATGGGAAGTGAGAGGGAGGGGGGGGGCAAGGTCGACGGGGGGGGAGCAGCGAGAAGGAGCATGAGCATTCGCGACGACCAGCGTGAGGAGGAAGAGGAGGAGGAGGAGGAGGAGGACCGAGCAATGAGTGGATGGTCAGGAGGAGTAAGGAGGAGCGTGACGGCAGCAGTGAGGCGGAGGAGGAGCAGCAGCGAGGAGCGAGGAGGAGGAGGAGGAGGCTGAGGAAAAGGCGGTACGAGAAGGACCTGGGCGAGTACGAGGATGCGTGTTGAAGAGTAGCGAGGAGGAGTTGGGTGCAGGAGCGAGGAGAATCGCGGCAACTGAAGCTAGAATGTGTGGCGCGACGAGGAGCAACACTGCGCTTGGACCAACGAGGAGGAGTGAGGTGTGAGGAGACGGACGAGAAGCGAGGAGAGGAGCAGGTTGAGGAGGTGCAGCGGGAGTGAGGAGGAGGAGGAGGAGCAGGAGGAGGAGGAGGAGGAGGAGGAGGAGAAGTGAGGAGGAGGAGCAAGAGGAGGAGGACCCGTGCAAATTCAAGGTTCATCAACGATGTTTGAATCCCACCTCCCTCCAAGCTCCCTGTTCACAGGCCCCTACAAGGGTACAAGGGTTCATTTCCACTAAAGGATTTGCCCCGTTGGGGGACAACCTCGTGCCAATCAGGAAGCGTGCCAAAACAACGCTCTCCTGCTGCGCCGTGGCAGCCCTGAACCGCTCCAAAACAAAATCTATGGTACGTTAACCATGAGAACCAGTGAAACTCTTACACATGTTTACACCGAGTGTGCGCGGCGCTAAGGCGAGAGCCGCACTTTGATAGCCACCCGCTCTGAATCCGTGAGACTCTCGCGAATATTTAAAACGAATGTGCGCGGAAAACCACCCGCCCTCAATCCGTGAAACTCTCGCGAACGTTTAAAACGAATGCGCGCGGCGCAAAGGCGAGGGCCACATTCTGAAAACGACCCGCCCTCGATCCGCGAAACTCTCTGCGAAGTTTCCCGGCGAATGTGCGCTGCGCTAAGGCAAGAGCAGCATTTTTTTAAACCACCCGCCCTCCATGTGTGAAGCTTTCTGCAGAGTTGCCAAACCTGCGTGCGCGGCGTTCGGGCGAGAGTCACACTCTGAAAACGCCCCGCCCTCGAGCCGCAAAGCTCTTCAAAATCTTTGAATGCGGATGTGCGCGGCGTGAATTTGCGAGAGCCACGTTTTGAAAACCGTCCGCCCTCCATCTGTGAATATCCTGCCATTTTTTTCAGCGTCAGGATCAAACCCTGTGAGCACGTCTCGGGCGAAACGCCCAGCCCGACCTTTCGACCGGCCTCGGGGTGCGACAGGGAGGAGCTATTGTGAAGGCCTGACGGCCGGTGGCGCCGACCCTGAAAGACATCGACGACGACCAGGAGGGGGAGGAGGAGGAGGAGGAGGAGGAGGAGGAGGAGGAGGAGGAGGAGGAGGACGAGGACGAGGAGGAGGAGGAGAAGGAGGAGGAAAAGGACTCCCCCCTGTCCCCCCCCCGCCCTTTCGACCAGCCTCGGGGGGCGACAGGGCGGAGTTACTTGTAACGAAAAAGGAGCGGAGGGAGGAGAGCGTGGAGTATAGGCGGGAGGGAGACGAACCGCGGCGGCCACAGGTGCGGATGCGCGAGGAGGAGGAGGAGGAGGAGGAGGAGGAGCGAGGGAGACGAACCGCGGCAGCCACAGGTTCGGATGCGCGAGGAGGAGGACGAGGAGGAGCGAGGAGGAGGAGAGGAGGAGGAGGAGGAGGAGGAGGAGGAGGAGGAGGAGGAGGAGCGAAGCGGTGTTGGAGCATGAAGACGAGGAAGCTCAGGAGAAGGTGGAGGGGAAAGGAACGGCGAGGAGGGTCAAGAAGAAGGAGGAGGAGGAGGAGCAGGAGGAGAAGCGAGGTGGGGCGAGGCAGAGGACTGGAGGTGGGCGTGAAAGCAGGAAGTAGCAGTGCGCAGCAGCAAGCAACACGCGAAGCAAACAAGAACAGCAAACCATTCAGCCGGAGCATAAGACAGCCCAGAACGACGGCAACTAGCAGCAGCCTCCTCCAGCAGCGGCGCCTCACGTCGTGGCCGAAGCAGGCAGTGTTGAGAGGGGCCGCTAGCACGGAGGACATTAGACATCAGATGAGCCGCCAGCAATGAGGCATTAGAGAGGCCGCCCATCGCATCGTGCGGGCACTGTGGCGGACAGTGCTGCAGAGCATGGTTATCGCAGTGGTGTCTGAACGAGCTTAACGCGGTGTTGCCACGACGATATCATATCCAGGGGTTCTTGAACAAAATCATGTCCCGCTAATCCAGGGGGAAAGGTGGGGGGCGGGATTCGAACGTTCCGCTAGAGAGACGTGGCATCGTTCGGACATGTGCATTGTTTCCGGCGGGGATCATCAAGGAACATGTTTGACCATCTAGCGAAAAACACACGCACGAAATCGAACAAGTTCACGGGGAACGGATGTCCGAGCGATGGCGAGGAGACGCCCTTGCACGGCCCCGCAGGAAGCGGGGATGAAGGAGACGATGGCGAGCGCGGAGTTCAATTGCTTCGCCCGCCTGTACCAGGACGCGCTGAGGCGGATGCAGAAGGTGAACTCGCTGGAGCAGAGGCTCCCTGGGAGGAAGTGGAGGAGGTGGAGGCGGAGGAGAAGGAGGCGGAGGAGGAGGTGGAGGAGGAGGAGGAGGAGAAGGGGTGAGGAGGAGGAGGAGGGAGGAGGAGGAGCGAGGAGGAGGGGTGAGGAGGAGGAGGAGGAGGAGGAGGAGGGGGCCCTGCGTCAATCGGCGGCACAGCTTCTGCGGAGCTGCTGCCCAAGGCCGCGCGTGCCTCCGGGGCACAGCACCCTCCGAGCTCCACGCCTGCCTCCGTCGTCTCCGTCTCCTCCCCGTGCCCTCCACCGTTGCCCCCCCTGCCGAAGTATCCTCCCTCCAGGAGGAGGAGGAGGAGGAACAGGAGGAGGAGGAGGGATCAGAAGGAGTGATGAGGTAGGGAGAAGGCCGGATGAGGGAGGAGGAGGAGGAGGAGGAGGAGGAGGAGGAGGAGGAGGAGGTGGAGGAGGAGGGGGAGGAGGGGGAGAGGAAGAGGAGGAGCAGGAGGAGGGATCAGAAGGAGTGATGAGGTAGGGAGAAAGCCGGATGAGGGAGGAAGGAAGAGGAGGAGGAGGAGGAGGAGGAGGAGGAGGAGGAGGAGGAGGATTAGGATTAGGACGAGGAGGAGGAGGAGGAGGGGGAGGAGGAGGGGGAGGAGGCACACGCCCAATCGCACCGCGACCCCCGCGTCCGTGCCCGCCCTCGTCGTCTTGTCTGGTCTGTTAAGTCGGGCGTGCCCCTCTACGGGAGGAATGTTCAAAGATAGTCCAACAATAGTCTGGGGACGTTTTTTTCCACTATTCTTTGCCCATTGGGGGGCATTTTGTGAGTGTTTGTTTCCCTCCAAAATTCCCCTGTAGGGGGACAGGCCCGACTTAAATCGGGTCCTCTCTGTCCCTCCCCTCGACCGCCAGGACGCTCCATTTGAAACACAGTCGGATCGAGGCATCAGGTCGAGGTCGGTTCGGGGAGGATGCCATCGTGTTCGTTGTGCTGGCTTGGCGTTGTTGTGGATCCTGTGGAGCGTGCCCTCGACTGTTCTTCCGTCCGGCCGGCGGAGGGCCTCGTGTTCTTGAGTCATCGTATTCTGGCTTAAGTCCGGCTGCGTGTAGCGCCCCCATTCATTGCGGCAGCCAGACCGCGTCCCCCTCCGTGGCCATTCCCAGCAGGGAAAACACACAGACACAGGCTCCCGGCTGGAAAGTTTATACCCCTACGGTGCCATCGTAGGGGTATAAACTTTCCAGCCGCCCAGGGGCAGGTGTCCCCGACGGCGAAAAAGTTTATTTTATACCGCTCTTCGCCCGTTCAATGGATAAACCTCTTACCCTGACACGTCGATTAAGGAATTGGCCGTTTTCGGTTCGCGAGAGGGCGTCGCGGCCGTCGTTTTTGCGGGTCCAGGTCCGTCGGTTTCGGTCCTGGGCCGTTTTCACTAAGGGGAGGTGTGCTAAAGGGAGGTTTGTCCACCGCCGACAGTGGCGAAGCGTCTTGGCTCGCCTATAGACCTACCAAACAATGTTCGAAGAACCTTTTTGGTGGTTCCCACGAGATGTTCTCAGAACACTCCTCTTGTTTTCATCACGTCGGGTTGATGTTCTAAGGACATTGTTTTTGCTCTGAGAACATTTGTGGGTTCTAAGAACATTATTTCGTGGTAGGACGACGGTCGGTCCCTGCTCAAGTTTCGGAAGCGGCCGATCATCACCATTGAGACCCCCCCTCTGGCCTGCGAGCCGCAGCCCCCCGACCCGGGCAGAAGGGGAAGCAGGCTTGCGATGGCCGCGCCAGGCGGCCTTCCCTTCGCGGACTGGCGCGCGCAGGGCGACGACGCTGCAGTGCAAAGAAGAGGAGGAGGAGGAGGAGGAGGAGGAGGAGGAGGAGGAGGACATCGTTCAAGGTTGGACGATCTCCCCAGTGTCAGGAGCCAGCGCCAGGGTCGGCGCGGCACGAGCTTGCCCTGCTCCTCGCCGTGCTTTATGGGCGCGTAACGGCTGCGCGCCCCCGGGCCGCCCCGTGTGGTGCGTCATCGCGGCGAGCGGCTTGCTTGCCCCCTTCGTGCTCCGCGGGGACCCCCACAGCTCATCGACGTTAGCCCGGGCCAGGAGTTCTGCATAGCTCGGGGAACGAACATAATGAGATTCAAAAAACAACTCGGAGGTCCGCGCGGGTTTCTCGGATCCGTGCGGGAGCTCCCTGGTCGCACCTCGGGCGCCGCCCCTTGCGCGCTCGGGGGGTCCAGCGCGGATCCGAGACACCCGCGCGGACCTCCGAATTTCTATGCTCATGCCATGCTTCGTCCCCCTGTTGGCCACCGCCGGGGGGATCGATCTTCGGGGACCTCGCCAGGCGGCGGAGGCGGCTGGAGTCGGCCCCCGGGGGCCCAAGCACATCCACATCCACCGCCCGCTGGGATGCCAGGGCGTCGGTTCCCAGGCCGTGGTCATGGGTAAAGTCCCGCCTCGCAACTCAGGGGCCGGGACGGCGCCGGCTGGCCAGAAATAAGCGCGAGTGGAAGTGTGGACGCCGGTTGGACAGGCGAGCTTTCGCGGGAGTGTTTCTCGCGGCGGGCGGCCCGATTGCCCCTTCGCTGCCGCGAGGACCCACAGTTCAACTCAACTGGGTTGGGGCGGCGCCGACTGGACGCCGACAGGACAGCGATGAGTGTGAGGGAAGGTACCTCCTCGATCCTCGATCCTCCTCCTTTATCCCCCTCGATCCTCGATCCTCCTCCCCCATCCTCCTCGATGATCGATTACCTCCGATCCTCGATCCTCCTCGATCCTCGATCCCCCCCCATCCTCGATCCTCCTCCCCCGTCCTCCTCGATCATCGACCCCCCTCGACCCTCGAGCTTCCTTGATCCTCGATCCGCCCCCATCCTCGATCCTCCTCCCCCGTCCTCCTCGATCATCGACCCCCCTCGACCCTCGAGCCTCCTCGATCCTCGATTCCCCCCGATCCTCGATCCTCCTCCCCCATCCTCCTCGATCATCGATTCCCCCCGATCCTCGATCCTCCTCGATCCTCGACCCCCCCGATCCTCGGCCATCCTTCCCCGTGCTCCTCGATCATCGACCCCCCTCGATCGTCGAGCCTCCTCGATCCTCGGCCCTCCTTCCCCCGCCCTACGCGCAGGCACACGCTCACCAGGGCGCCCGCCCTGCTTCCGAGCCCGAGCGAGCAGATGCTGCAGAAGTTTGCGCCGGCGAGCCCGAGCGAGCAGATGTTCGCGCCGGCCTCGGAGCCTCGAACGACAAACAACTGCATCAGCATAAACAGTCAGAGGTCCGCGCAGATGTCTTGGATCTGCGCTGGGCCCCCCTGGCGGCGCATCTGGCGCTGCCCCTGGCGCCAAGGGGAGGCGTCCCGCGCGGATCAAAGAAGTCTGTGCGGACGGTCGACAGTTTATGTTTGTGCAGTGTTTTGTTCCTCTAGGGGCCTCGGGCGGCGACACCCGAATCGGCCTTCCCCGCGTTGGCCCTGCCTCCTGCTTCTCCTCGCCCTCCCTGTTGCTCCTCCCGCTCCTCGCTCTCCTCGTCTCCCCTGCGGGAGGGCGGAGCTGGGCCACA